CTCGGCCTCCAGCGTCATCTTCTCCTCCAGCTTGTCCTCGCACTTGTCCGAACCCTGAGGGATTGCTTCGCGGGATATCTCTGCATCCACCGCTGGCCACACACCTCGAATCATCGATAGATCGCTGCTACAGGGTAACACTGCCAACATAATCAATATCGAAACAAGACTGCGAAATACAAAACCACTTACTCACGTACCTTGACATGCTGAGTGGTCGGCTGGAATTCTGCCAGGACTCGTGCAAGTCACCCGAGATCCGAGCTGCATGCGAACACTCAGGGCTGAAGTTCGCCAGCCACGGGTCAGGAAGTGACGAACAAGGCTTGGCCAGCAAATGGAGCAGGGTGCCAGCACGCTGTGATCGGATCCATCTCGCGTCAGATCTCCCAATCGGGACATGCAAACAACAGTCGAACAGGGGCATTGTGGAAATCCTGAACCCAACGGGAAGCAAAACCAAGCCCTCTAAAGCAACTGCTTGACGATGATGCTTGGGCGTGGAGGCCAGATGGAAGCACTCGATGAGCAGAATGATGAAGCGCGTGCCAGATTCCCCAAATCTGCAATGGCGTCATACACAACGTAGCGGCACACTGGCTAATCTTGAACGACATTAAGCTCTTCCACCTCCATCCGGATCGTTCCAGGAATCCCCTATCCAGGAAGCTGCACATGATTTACGGGTCTGATACTGCTCGTGCCATCGAACTGCCTCGAAAGATCACGTGTCTGCGGCAAGGGAGACGTCTGCATAACAAATGCCTGCCATGACACCAGCCATAATCAATGATGCAGTGGATGTGATGTGCTGGTTCACAAGAGCAGCTCGGCCGGCCGCACACATTGATATGAACCTGCTTACCCTGCGCAAGCGGGACACCTCTCAAACACAGTCTAACTCACCTCCGCCGCTCGAGACAAGACACGGCGTGTCTCTGGAGATATCCGCCAGCCTGCGCACAGGACGCTCGAAGGATTCAATGCGGAGAGCGGCTTGACCTCTGGGCAGTCCCGAGCGTCGGTGGCGCACGCGCGGGAACAAGCTGCTTCCACCGCCACTCTGATCAAGATCGGGGGGCTTACGGTCAAGAGTTTGTTTGACTCAGCGTGCCTCGGCGGCAACATCTTCGATACGCTGTGAGTGGATGGCGTGCCTAGAAGAAGACAAACGGCATACACATCAACGTTTTGGTGCTCCGCGCGGATTTCCTGGATCTGCGCTGGAATCCCCTCCCTGGCGCGCGGAGCGCGCCGGGGGCGGCGCCAAAGGGGGCCCTGCGCGGATCCAAGAGATCCGCACGGAGCGCCAAAAGTTTATGGCGTCTTTCCTTCTTCGATGCAAGCGGATGGCGCGCCGCTCCGCTCCGCGGGGCGGGAGGCTGAGAACTGCCCGGGACGTTGCTGCTCGGGGACCCAGGAGAGGAGCACCGCGCCGCGGCAGAATGTGGTGAGCCAGCCTGAGCCCGCGGCGCCACACGCTCGGCACAGCGTTCCCGACCGCACACTCGGCAGAGCTGCGGGGAGACCCCCACGTAGCTCGCAGGATCCTCACGGCTCACAGTTCTGTCAAGTAGAGAACGCCGAGGCCACTGCAACGTAAAACACGAAGAGGTCGCGACGGTGTTGAGCCGAAGGAGCCGCGACACTGGTCTGGGTGCCAGGGGCAGGAGAGCCCAACATCAAATCGATAAGTCGGATCGGCGATCGAAATGAATCGGATCGGCGAAAACCGGCAGCCGAGTCGGGAGACGTCGAATCGGCAGAAATCGGCAGGCTAGTAGACCTCCATTGGAAAATCGGCATCCGAATCGGAATCCCAGGTCGGATCGAATCGGAATCGGCACCCATCGAAATCGAGTCGAATCGAATCGGGGGAGTCGAAATGAACCCTGCAGGGGGAGCGGCACTTGAAGAGCACGGTAAGACCTCTGACTTCTCTGAAACTCTTCTCTGGAGAGTCAGTCTGTCTCATGTGAGCGCGCGCGCGCGCATCCTTCGAGTCCTTCTTTCTCTGGGTGATCACGGCCTGGACCTGGCCGACCTCCTCGGGCGCTGTCCGACGTCGGAGGCAGAACCCCTGCTTCCGCTGCCACCTCTCCCCGCCCCAGACCCGTGCAACAGTGCCCCGAAGCATCGACCAACTTCAGTGCCATCGCCTTTCCTCCCCTCCCCTCCCTCTCTCTCTCCCACTGTACGTGTATGTTTGCCCCTCCCCTCTCCCTCTCTCGGACCTCTCGTGCTGTGTGGCCTCGTAAACATGCGCCGTCCCGTCGAGCTCCCAGCGGGAACGCCGCAAGCCGTCTCACTCAAGCCCGCCCGCTCGCATCCGTAGGGGGCCACATGCGAGCCCTACCCCTACCCCCCACGATTTCTGAGGGGAGGGGAGGGTTTACTTCGCTCGGGAGCTCCCGAGCGAAGTGAACCCCCCCCCCTCAGAAATCGTGGGGGGTAGGGGTAGGGTTCGCCTGTGGCCCGCTCGCATCCGCCCTCCCAGCACGTGACTCGCACGAGCCGCGGCCGCCACCAGACGCACAGCCGCTTGAGATCGAGGCGGGCGCGAGGCGCGCAGGGCACGCCAAGTGCGCCGCCCACACGCCGAGTGCGCCGCGCGCTCAACGCGTCCGAGCACGCCGGGCGGGCCCACTGGTGCGGAGGAGGGAGGAGGGAGGAGAGAGGAGGAGAGAGGGAGGGAGAAAGGAGGAGAAGGAGGGGGGAGGGAGGAGAGAGGAGGAGGAGGAGGAGGAGGAGGAGGAGGAGGAGGAGGAGGAGGAGGAGGAGGAGGAGGAGGAGGAGGGGAGGAGGAGGAGGAGGAGGGAGGAGGAGGAGGAGGAGGAGGAGGGAGGAGGAGGGAGGGAGGAGGGAGGAGGGAGGAGGAGGGAGAGAGGAGGAGGAGGAGGAGGAGGAGGAGGAGGAGGAGGAGGAGGAGGAGGAGGAGGAGGAGGAGAAAGAGGAGGAGGAGGAAGAGGAGGATGAGGAGGAGGAGGAGGGAGGGAGGAGAGAGGAGACGGAGGAGGAGGAGGAGGAGGAGGAGGAGGAGGAGGAGGAGGAGGAGCAAGAGCTGGAGGAGGAGTAGGAGGAGGAGGAGGACCAGATGTGCCAAATGTGCCGCGCACTCCAGGCGCCACAGGTACGCCACTTGCGCAGTGCGAGCCACATGCGCCAGCGCACGTGGCAGCAAACACGTCGGACGAGCACCCGCTCCCTTGGGTGCCTGGACGGGGGGCGAGCGGCGGAGCGTCCGAGGCAGCCCAGGACGGCTCCAACACAACCCCATATATGGCCCGCGATGGCCTGCACTGCTGCGCGGGCTGGCCCACCCTGCTCCAAGATCGCCTCCCACATGCCCCCCAGGCGCCCCCGAGGCCGCCACACGCCAGCCCGCTGCGGCCACCCGAGATGGCAGCGGAGCCCCCAGAGCCTGCCAGGCGAGAGGCCAGCATCCGCCGCCAACACGCATGGCGGCCTCCTCGACGTGTGGCACCCTCGACTCCTCCTCGCGGCCGGCTGGCCCCGGGCGGCCTCAACGTGACCCCCACTATGGCCTAAGGGGTCCACGGGAGGGACTCAGACGAGCCCCAAGAGAACACTCAATCAATCAGCAAACTGTATGTCCGATATCTCCTGGGGCCTCTTGGGAGCATCTTGGGGGCCTCAGCGGGGGGGGGGATCTTAGGGGTCTTTACGCCCTGGAGGTCTGCACGCCGCCTCCGCGAGGTCTTCCCCGAGAGCAAACTCCAATCAATGAGCAGCCCCCTTGAGCCGCTGCCCTCCAGGATCGCCCCGAGAGGGCTGCAAGGGCGCTCCAAAGGGGCCCACGAGGCCTCCTGGAGGAAACCCCAAGCTCCGAGAAGGCCACAGTCGAGTCCAAAAAGGGCCACCCAAATTGGCCAGTCCTGGGCTTGGGGGCTGTTCGGGCTGACCCCAACTTCGGCTTGACTGATGCTCCCCCCCCGCCTTTGTTTCACTTGCGGCGCGCTTCTCACCGAAACCTGTGCTACGACGGCACGAGGGCGTTGTCAACGTGGCGACGGCTACCACGAGTGGGAGGCCGCATTCCACCCCGCGCGCGGCACGGTGCCCTGCGCACGGCATGCCCTGCTTCGGTGAGCTCAGGACTGCTCGGCGCGGCAGTGGGAGCTACTGCACATTGCCCGAGGCCGTGCGCTGCAACGGTGCTGCGCTCTTGGGCGGTCCAGCGTGCAAGAGGGAGGGAAGGGGGGGCGATGCCCCGACAGACAGGGAGGAGGAGGGAAGCTGCCGAAAGACAGGGAGGAGGAGAAGGGAAGCTGGACAACGGCATTGTGAGTGGAAGTTGACGAAGGAGGTCGTTGTGAGGGACTTGGTTCCTGCGCGGGCGTCCAACAGAAAACAAGACATGTCGGGAAAACGCATGACACCAACACATTGTCGACGGGTGGCGATATACCATTCAGCCAGAAAGCACGAGCGCACGACTTCACCGTCCCCCTGCTGTCACGACGCACAGCTCCCGACCTCCCGCCCATGTCCTCCCAGCCTTTCGTCTCTCCAACCCATCCCCTGTGGAAGCATTGGGCCTCCACATCCAGCACCCAACGTCGCTTGGCAATGCTGATGGCTGAGGGCTGACGGTCATGGACCCATTGGGGATCAGGCAGACACCACGAGACCGTAAACTCGCGTTAAGTCGGGCGTGTCCCCCTACAGGGGGATTTTGGGCGACAAACAAAAAATACTCAAAAAATACCCCCACATAAAGAAAACTGGTAAAAAAATAGTCCCCAGACTATTTTTTGACTATTTTTGAATATTCCTCCTGTAGAGGGACAGGCCCGACATAAAACTCGCGCTGCGGCACAGCTCTTGACCCTGCAGAGCTCTTGCGCTCTGGCAGGGGGCGAGCGCACCCTGAGGCCGTGGACAGGGTGGAGACGACAACGGCGAGCCGTCCTTGCGCTTCTGCTCCGTGTTGTACTGCGCCTTTCTCCACTCCTCTCGGGCCGGGCGAAAAGGGGGGATAGCAAAGGGGGGGGGGGAGAATCAGCTCAGCTCAGATTCTCCCGGCGCCTCCCGGCGCCGGAGGCGGCCCTGCATCGAGGAGTGGGCCCCTCGGCGAGGCCGACACCAGCTGCATGCAGCACATTTTGCAACCCCCCCTTTCCCAATCCCCCCCTTTCGTCCGGCCCGGTCCTCGTCAATTGCGATCACCTTGTCAACGGTCTCTGGACCTGTGAGGGCACGCGCGCTGCCGGGCTCCTCCTCCATGGCAGCTCCCCCCGGCGAGACCGGCCCCACCGGCGAGTGCTCACCAGAAGGCAGAGCTTCCGCCCACGCGAGCCCACTGCAAAGCACACGCACACACAGGCAAACGTCGTCGCGCTGACCTTCTCCCTGTGGCCCGGGCGGGAGGGCCTGGCAAAGCACGGCCAAAGGGGCCCGTGTGGCTTCGCGGGTGCCTGGGGGGGGGGGAATTTCCAGTCCCTCTCATCCTCCGCACTCTCACATGTGTGTGTGTGTGTGTGCACGTGCTCGCCCTTGTGGCCATGTTGCTCTCAAGGGCGCCCTTGGGCCACCTTTCAGGAGGCGGGACCAAATATTCATATACCAAGATATATCCACTCATACAGATAAGGGATAAGGTATCGATCCTAGTTCTTCGATCGAGGCCTCCAGAGTGAAGGTGGCTGAACACGTCAGATTGCTCGCAGTGTGCTTGAATATAATATTCGATTTCAAGAAATAACTCATGTGCTATGCTGGGAAAAGGAGAAGAGAGCCCAATCTACCTCAACGCTGACGCGCAGATTGCGCCGTGCAGGGACCAGTGCGGTCGTCCAGGGGGTTAGGGGGCCCAGTGATTAGACCTGCACTGGCCAAACGGGCCTGGCCCTACACTGGCCAACCAAACTCACCGGCCAATCGCGCTCTTCACTGGCTCGCGCTCTGCGTCGCTCTTATAAGAAAATGGAATGTAGTGCCCGTCGTATCATACAAAAGCGAACTTTGTATTCGTCAAAGTTCTCAGTAGCTTTCTGAAGTGGACATGTTTGACTGCTTTTCGGAAGCCTGTGTACCTCGCGTTCGGCGCTTGGGTCGATGAGTGCGACTCCCAGTAGAAGAGGGCGAGCGCTGGTTGATGTGGTGCTCATGAGGAGAAGGATACGCAAGCAGTGGATCAGGGGAAGGACGAGGATGAAGATGGCGAGATGAAGATCGGGAGAACGACGTGGAGGGGGATGACAATCAGACTGCGGAAGATCAAGGTGAGGACGATGCGTAGGAGCAAGATCGGTGCCAGGACCAATACAAAGATCAAGTGGACGAGAATAAGGACGACAAAGAGGCGGACGATCCGGCGCCGATCCGAGAAATCCGCGCGGACCTCCGAACGCGAATGTTCGGGTTATCATCTGTGCCCCGCATGAATGCGCCTTCTGCTGGACCACAGAGTTCAAACCAACAGCGGCCGCTGCTGGGCAGGCGGCCTTCTGCCTCGCATTGGCAACCTCCACCGACTGCCAGTCCTGCTCGAGACGGGCAGGACATGCTGGGTCCCCGTGCCACTGCTCTGCGTATCCGTTTCGATCGAACCGGTGTCTGTCGGGAGCGGCCAAGAGGGGGGTGTCCAAGAGGGGGGGGTGAAAGTCATGACCGGCGGCATGTGCGCGGCCCAGCGGGGGAGCCAGGGACCTAACGAAACAAGAAGAGGCGCCATGAAATCTGGGGAACTATCATGCCCCCCGCCATGATACCCACCCACCCCTAGTCAGATGGTCTGGTACCGGAAATTTTCGGTAGCGATTTCGACGCACCCCGAATTTCGGTAGCGACCGGATCTTCGTTTGAGGGCGTTGAAATAGCGGATTTCAGAACGCTCTGATACCGGTATTGGGCGTTACATTTCGGTATTTCGGTAGCGACCGATCTCTGCGGAGCGCTACCGGAAATTTTCGGTAGCGGACCATCGGGGTAGTCATCCCCCCCCTCTTTTCCGCCCCCAAGAGTATGGACACCTCCTCCCGTGAAGGCAGACTCTGCCGGCCAGGGCAGGGGAAGTGCAAAGGGGGGGGGAGGCGGGGCCCGTCGCCGCGAGGTGACGACCCTGACCCTCCAGGAGGGCTAAAAAAATAGCATCCGACCTAAAAACCTATCCCAAAGCTAGTCTACGTCTTGGTTTTAGGGTGCTTCGTCTCGTTTCTCAAGTTTTTAGGCCTCCCGTGCTAAAAAGTAGCTCTCTGCAAGTCAGGGGACCGTCCGGGCCGCCCCACCCCCTGCCCGGCCAGGACCCCCACTCCCGAAATGGGGAGATCCAGGGGGTCCCGGCTGGGGGTGGGGGTGGCTCGGGGCTCTTGGATGGCTCGGGGTGGGGGTGGGGGGGTCTCGGGGTGGCTCGGGGTTTTTGGCCCCCCCCCCAAAAAAAAACTCCCCAGCAAAGACTCCCGCCCCCAGCCAGGACTTCCTGGATCACCAGGTCGGGAGTGGGGGGGTCATGGCTGTGGGGGTGGGTCGCCGCTCGGTGACACGACGGCCCGGGTTGCGCGAGAGGAGATCGAAGAGGGGCTGCCCGCCCTTTGGATAGCGAGCGCGAAAGAGGCTGCTCGAGGCGTGGTGCAACAAGCGCGGTCTATGGGAGAACTCACGGGTCGAGGGTGAAGCCGGAGGGGATAGAGAAGAACACGACGGATGAACTGTGAACTGGCACTTGGAGCGGCGTGCAGGTCTGGATCGCGCAGGAGCGCATGCAAACAAGTGCGCCTGCAGCGTTTTCTGCTGCACATGCCATCTGTACTCGAACTAAGCGAAACATCTGCGCCTGCGACGGGCGTTCGGTTTCCATTGATACTTGGAGTGGGCTGACACAGTTTCGGCGCCTACGCGCCGCACCGAACCTGGACCAGCTTCTCACTCCTGTACGCATCTGCTTGGGTTAGGGGTTCAGACCCAGACTCGTGTTCAGACCTGTTACCTGTTACAGGCGGCCGAACCACGACGTTCTGGTGCGAAAAGGCTGTGCGCAAGAGAGGACGTTGTTCACTGGATGGCAGCGTCGAGGAAACCGAACCGCCGCCCCTGCGCAGGCTCGACACCCACCACGCGAAGATGGCCAGATCGGGGGCAGAGGTGGCACTGCCCTGACCTTCCAGAGAGCTATTTTTTAGCACTGGAGACCTAAAAACCTAAAAAGCTGAGCGAAACAGCCTAAAACCAAGACGTAGAATAGCTCTGGGATCGGTATTTAGGTCGCGTGCTATTTTTTAGCCCTCCTGGAAGGTCAGGGGTGTGCCCCCCCCCCGCGAAACTTCGAGGCCTCCGGGGCAGACCGGGCGCGGCGCAGCCCAGAATCTCGAAGGGGGAGTGCAGCGAAAGCCCCCTGCCCGAAAGCCCTCGCCAACCCTGCCCTCCCTAAACATCTCTCTCCCCCTTTGTTCATCTCTCTCCTCTCCCCCCCCCTCCTCCTGACTGCCCCTCCCCCCTGCCATGCCCCCCAGGGGCTACCCCTCTGGACCCTTGAATGCCGCCGGCTCCACAGTCGAGCTTGATCGGAGAGGACACGCAAAGGACAGCAGACCCTTCCGAGGGCCACACTGCCGTAGAAATGTGTAGCAAGCATGGGTCGCGAAACACACAAGGGTACCCTTGATTTGGCAGGGCCGACCTACTAATCAAACTCGACTCTGGGCCCTGCCACCAGCAGCCTCCGCGAGGAACGAGCGGCACGCGGGGGCTGCCAGGCCTCCTCGCGGATGCCCTGCCTCCCACTGCCCTGATCCTTTTCGTTCTCTCCCCCCTCTGCCTGCCCTCCCCTCCCCCCCTCCGACTGCACTCCTCCCCCCCCCTCCAACCCTTGGACGCGGCCAGGGGGTCTGAACTGGCCGGGGCACTGGAGGGAGGAGGAAGAGGAGGAGGAGGAGGAGGAGGAGGAGGAGGAAGAGGAGGAGGTTGGAGGAGGAGGAGGAGGAGGAGAGGAGGAGGAGGAGGAGGAGGAGGAGAAGGTTGGAGGAGGAGGAGGAGGAGGAGAAGGAGGAGGAGGAGGAGGAGGAGGATGAGGATGAGGAGGAGGAGGAGGAGGAGACGGAGGAGGAGAGGAGGAGGAGGAGGAGGAGGAGGAGGAGGAGGAGGAGGAGGAGGGAGGAGGAGGGAGGAGGAGGAGGTTGGAGGAGGAGGAGGAGGAGGAGGAGGAGGAGGAGGGAGGAGGAGGAGGAGAAGGAGGAGGAGGAGGAGGCGGAGGACGAGGCGGAGGAGGAGGAGGGGGGGCAGGATGAGGCCAAGTCCGTTCAACATCAGTCCACTGGCCCCTCCCAGGGTCCACACCTGGTACGACTCCTCGCCCAAGAGCACTATTGCGAAGGCCTTACGGCTGGTGCCGCCGACCCTGAATGACGACGACGATGACGAGACGAGCGCTCTCGGGGGCCTCTTGGGGGTAGCTTGGGGGCCTCTTGGGAAGCTCTTGGGAGCAGCTTGGGAGCCTCGTGGGGGCATCTTGGGGCTTCCTGGGGGTCTCTTGGAGGGCTGGTGCGACTCCTCGCCCACGAGCACAAATTTACGGCCCCGGGCCCCGAAGACTGCCCCAGGAGGCCGCACAAAAAAGGCAGACCGCCTTCCCGAACGCAGCGCCTCGAACCCGCCGACTCCGACCTCCACCGCTTCCCCCTCCCTCGGGGGCGCGCCAACACGGATTAGCGATCCGTGGATTCGGCGCGCGGTCGCCAAATCCATGGATCGGACAAGGTGCGCCCCCCCAAAAGGCGGCCGGCGCCGCCTTCTTCGGCGGCGGAGAGCCGCGATGTCCCGTGGAAGCGGGGCCCGTCGCCAATCCACGCCCCCTTTGAGCCATGCCTTGCGATCGCCTGGCTCCCACCCTGCTGCAGCCGTCCTCCCCCTGCCCTCCCCGCCTCCCCTCCCCTCCCCCTGCACGGGCGGCCTCGACGCCCGCCCAGCCCTTCGGGGCTCTGCGTGGGGCCAGGTGGCCGCCGGGGGGGGGGCATGCCAGAGCACGTCTGGCCCTGGCGGCAAGCTTCTGCACTCGGGGGGTTGCCCAGTCTCGAGCGTGGCCCTGTCCCTGAGAAGTTGACAAGCCGAGAGGCAATGACAACCTCAGGGATGCGTCCTCGGACTCTGACAGAATCCTTGCGATCGGCAGTGAGATAAGATGGTGCCAATCATCAGGGCAGGGCTCGGCTTCAGACTCCATTTCAGGCCGGTAAAGGAGTGGTCTCCTCTCAAAAGCCACCTCTGGGGCCGAGCCAGGTGACCGCGGCTCCTGCCCCGCCTCTTACTTCTCCTGCTTCGAGACCGACTTCTGCTTTTCGGCGACAGCCCGGGGGTGATCTGGTGGGGGGAAGGGGGAGGAGGTGCTGGCCGATGAACCAACCTTTTCGCCCTGGTCAGCCCAGCGTACGCCCGCGCGCACCAGCACTGCGCACCCCCTTCGGACCTTGCCCGCGCGCACCAGCACGGCGTACCCCTCTTCGGACCTTGACCGCGCGCACCAGCACTGCGCACCCGCCTCGGGACCCGGGCAGTCGACACAGTCAGGTGCTCCAGGGTTGGGGTGGGGTGGGCGGCCGGGCCTGCTAAGAGCTGCAGGATATCGCCAGACCCTTCAACAAACAGTCTCCTGCTTTCTCCACGTCCTCCCGTCCTCCTCCGGGGACCAAGAGCAACAAAAATTGGGCGGAGGGCTACCTGGCCCCGAGGGGGCCTGTCAACACTGTTGCCAGCGGGTCGACTCGGGTGGCCTGGTAGGGAGCCTCCGCCAGCGTCTCGTGGGCGCCCGAGCTTGGAAGATTGCCGTGCAGCAGCACTGATCCTGGTCAGCCCCGTCTGGGAGCCTTGGTTGGAGTGCACAGCCCGGAGCCCATCTACAGGCGCTGCACTGGTGAGCAAAAGATATCATGGTGGAGCGGTGTCAGGCCAGGCCGGTGTAAGAGCAAACCTGCATCGCACGCTAAAGCAATTCAGCAATACGCGACAATGCGACGAACCATTTGCGCCAGATCGACGTCGATGTGCAGACTGAGCGGGTGAGTAGGAGCAGGAGTCTGAGCAGGAGCAGGAGGAGCAGAACCTCAGGCCCACACAGGGCCTTGCATTTGCAGGCAGAACCACCTCGCCTGGTTAGGCTTGGGATATATATATGCGCACAAGTGCAAGGCCCTGGACAGAACTGCTCAGGACCAGTGCTAGTGCATTTTTTTTTGTGGCTGCTATGGCTCGGATTTTCCCGGCGTCCACACACAGGTCACTGAGGCACGCAGAAAGCCCTTGAATTTACCTCCAGAGGCGCACAACACACTGCGCACGAAACCGGCAAAAAGGGCCCGCGCCGGCACGTTGGTGGCAGGCATCCTCCCCCCTGTCCAGAGCTGCGCGTGCCATGGTCATCGGCATCGTCATCTTCGACCGCGGAAGCGGCGGGCTTCGGACTGCTTCACCTTGTCGGGGCTTTCCTCGGGCGCTGAGGTGCTGAGAGCGGAGCGGGGCTTACACGGGGCGACCACCACCCAAACCCAGTCAGTCGAAGGCGGAGAGACATGGAGGACGAGGAGGGGCAACGGGAAAGACTTGACCCGACCATCTTTCAAAACAAGCTTATTCGCGGGCCACTGGCAAGTTTGGCCGTGAAGCTACGTGCATCGACTCTCGACGGACGATCGAAGCAACGACTTGCGACCGCCTACGTACCTTCCAGGGGGGGAGTCCATCGACGACAACCACGCCCACATAATATTTGCTCAAATTTGAGTTACCTACAAGGGCACACCGCAACGATAACTTCGTGCCCATATTGTTGGGATGCAGAGCAATCATGAGTGAGCGGGCACGTCAGATAGATAAAAACAACCATGCCGCCTCTCCACTAACCGAGACCATTCCAAATCACGACACCGCAGCGTCGACCTCAGACCAGTGGATTGTACAACATACTGCGCGCCACCCTAGCACAAGGACTACCACGCGCATGCTACACTGACATAGCCTGCCCTGTACAACCTTGGCGCGAAAGAACTAGAACATGCGACCTATCACGTGACGTCGTGCAGTGTGAAACCTGTGCTGCACAACCCAGCATACTGTATTTTGCGCCGCAACAAACTGACAACACGCAACATGCAATGCTACACTGTGTGCCGTGAAAGCTGCACGATGAAATGACCATCGTTTCCCCGTGTAGCGGGCTGCACCCTGTCGCTCGACACATGCACCGCGGAGTGTGTCACGTATCACGGTGTAGCCTGACACCTGCAACGTGTGAGACACTGGAGCCTGTTCTATTTTCCGGGATAGCGGCCGTCATCGGCCCCGACCCGCCCCCACCCCCGAGATGACGTCACGTTCCGCGCCAGCGGCGTCCGAGAATGCCTAGGGATGACCGGGGCCAAGTAGGAGCAGCATGTTGGTGACGATCTGCACCAAAGCGCCTGTGTACACTACAGTGCTCGCGTGTACCACAGCGCGCGTGTACACCACTGCGCCTGTGTACGCCGCAACGGCCGTGTCAACGCAGCGCCAGTTAAGTGCTTGCATGCGCCACAGCGCCGGTGTACACCACAAAGAACGTGTACACCGCAACAACCATGTGCAACACAACGCCTGTGTACACCACAATGCTTGCGTTGACCGCATCGCCTGTGCACACCGCAGCGCCTGTCTACACCACAGCAACCGCGTGCAACGCAGCCCTGGTATACACCACAGTGCCTGCATGCACAGGACAAGTAGACGGAGCATGCAGGTGAGGATCTGCTGCGGACAGCTAAACACCACGCCACGGAAGTGCTAATGATATAATGCAATGTTTTTCCCTCCTCCCTGCTACTCAACCCCCTCCTCCTCCTCCTCCTCCTCCTCCTCCTCCTCCTCCTCCTCCTCCTCCTCTTCCTCCTCTCACCCTTCCACCCGTCGTGCGGGTCGGCGCTACAACGCACATGCGGATCTCAGCGTGCACCGCACAATGGTCTATTGAATCAGTTCACTTGGTTCTCGGACGGCTAATTCTGCGAGAGCTTCCTGGACGCAAATGGGCGGAGTTAGGATGATGCGGGGGACTCGGGAGGATTCCTAGATTCCAGCGGCGCTCCGCTTTCCATAAGGATTCCTTTCAAAATCCTATATCAGAAGTTTTTTGTGGAATCTACAGGCGCTCCATTTTGTCATAAGGATTCCTCACACATTCTATCTGCAACAATGGTGCTCTGTTGCACACGGTTGCTGTGGTGTGCACCAGTGCCGTGGTGTACACAGGCGCTGTGATGCACGCAAGCACTGTGGTGTACACTGGTGCTGCGTTGCACACGGCTGATGTGGTGCACGCGGGCGCTATGGTGTACACTGTGTGCACAAACGCTGTGGTGCACGCAAGCACTGTAGCACACACTGGCGCTGTGTTGCACGCGGCTGCTGTAGTGTACATAGGCGCCGTGGTGTACACTGGCGCTGTGGTGCACGCAAGTATTGTGGTGTACACAGGCGCTGTGGTGCAGATCGCCACCTACATGCTGCTGCTACCTGTCCTCGATCATTCCGAAGCATTGCCAGGCGCCGCCGTTGCGAAACGTGACGTCATCGACCCCCTCCCCCCCCAGATGACGGCCATCATCGGCCCGGGATTAAAAAAACTGTCTCCTGCGTGACTTGTCACGGACGCGGGCCGTTTTCAACATGTGGGTGTCGCCTTCGCGCCGTGCATATTCGTCTTCAAGGTTTCCGCCAATTTCAAGAATGAAGTGCGGCTCGTTTTCAAACTGTGGATCTCTGGTTAGCGCCTCGAACATTATGTGTAAAGGTTTACCACTGCTTCAAGACTGCAAAGCGGTTGCTTTTCAACATGTGGCGCACGTCTTAGTGCCGCGCAAAATTCGTATTCATCATTCGCAACAAATCTAAGAGTTCTTAATGCTGCAGTCACATAGGTGGCGTTCTGGCACGATCCAAGACGGCCAGGACGCAAAAGAAACGTTGGCCCGCGTTGATGAAGTCCCAGGGAAGGCGTTCCGTCACGACTGTTGACTGCCACGACGCAGCGGTCACTTTGATTCGCGGCGTGTGGAAGTCCAAGGACCTGTGTTTTGGCACGGTTCAGGATTCTTCGACGGGTGTCTTTCAATGGCGCACTTCCCACACTGCACATACTTTATTGTAGGGTCCTACGAAGAGGGAACTTGGAGGGCGGATTCATTGCAACATCGTTGAGGCGTCTTTGGTTTCCACTGCTCATTCCTCCTCCTGGCGAGCAGTGGCGTGGCGGCCGCCGACGCGGCGCTGCTGCCATAATGCAGTCAAAGCGATGCCCAGCTGCGCCATCAGCCGCCACGCATCTGGAACCAGATCAAGCGAAAGGAAAGCGGTGGCAACAAGCTCTGCCAACGCCAGAACGTGACAGACAAACGCCCCCAGCCCGGCTACACTGCGGGGATCAGCTTGTGCAAAAAGGCAATTGGGGGCAGGCTTGTGCGATACAATAGGCAGTGGTGGCCAGCGCCGTGGCTGCTTGAAGGTTGGAACCCGCACGAAACATCCTTGTAACATCGCTGGGGGCAGGTCGTGCGAAACGGCTAGCAGTGGCGGCAGGAATGCGGGAAAGGGGGCAATGGCAGGTCATGAGCTGCAGGCGCTCAGTTCACAGACGGAATGTGCAGAGTCTACTGCGAAAAAAAAAGCGGAGCTCAGACTTGATCAGCCACGGATGGAGCTGGCCTGCACGGGTCGGCAATCCGCTGCAGTCGCTCAGGTCATAGCGAGGCGGATGCAGAGGCTACTGCGACAGGGCACGGCGAAACCCAACCGTCATGAACTGAGGCGGAGGCTGGTCCAGGAGTGCCGGTGCGAGAAACGGCAGGGTTGGAGGGTGCGACGAAGCAGCGCCTGACCCGACGGCCTCCGACGATGCTGGGACCAGGGTATGTTGGAAGGCGGGCGACATGGGCCGCGCGGGGTACGAAAAGGAAGCGGAGCCCAATGTCATCAACTGCAGGGCGGGCTGGTCCAAACGTGTAGGGCGTACCACGAACTGGCTGGGTGTGCGAGCGCGGCGACGCAACGCCTTGCGCGACGACCGTGTGCCAAAGGGGGCCTGGGCAGTTGTGCACCTCCCAAGAGAGAGCACACGGGCTGCGAGGGGTGCGGGGTGCGATGAGAAACGGGGCCCCACGTCAGTGGCTTTAAGCGCGGAGCTGAGCTCGTGAGCGGCATGGCAGGTGGTGTGCGGTCTTGCACGGCAGGCCTGCTGCGGGGATGCGGAGGGCCCAGCGCCGTCTGCGATCCTGTGGGAGAAGGAAGGATCAGCTGCTCCAGGCAAGCCGCTGTGAGCAGTCTGGCCCGATGGCGGCCTGGGGTGGCATTTTACGGACCGTCATGATCTGCTATATCGCGAGGTTCCGCTGAGCTCTCGGGTAGGGTTCGCCTCTCGGGTAGGGTAGGGTAGGGTCCGCTCTCGGGTAGGGTCCGCTCTGGGTCCCTCGTCAGATCTGGGTAGGGTCCGCTCTCGGGTCTCTCGTTCGATCTGCTACATCGTGAGATTTTCCTGCTGAGCTCCCCGATCCTCTCTCCGCACCTGCCTCTCCCATCCTTCCCTCCGCACTCCCCCATTTCGTTTCCCACTCCTCCATCCTCATCTTCCCTCCTTCTTATCCCTCCTTCCTCCTCCTGCACTCCCGACCTGCCTGCCTGCCTGCCCACGTCCTTTCCTCCATCCACCTCTCCCCACACTCCTCCTGCTCATCCTTGTGTGGAGTATGATCCTGCACCTCCTCACCTCCTGCTGCTCGTCGTCCTCCTCTTCCCCCTCACCACCCCTTCTATTCCTCCCTGACTTCGGCTTCCCCCTCCTCCCGCTCGGCGTCCACTTCCTCCTCCTGCACCTCCCCCTCCTGCTCCTGCTCCTCCTCCACCGTCGCTACTCTCCGGCCTCGTCCCTCGCGACAGCTCCGCTGTTGCCTCCACCCGTCCGTCCCTCCCATCCCCCGCCCATCCTCCTCCCAACCCCCTCCCCTCTTCCCTATCCATTCCTTCTGCTCCTCAGCCTCCTCCCGATCACCCCTCAATCGACCCAAGCACGGCGCTGCCGGTCCCCCCCCCGCTGGGATCCCTGATGATCTCAATGCCAATGGTCATGGCTGGAGAAGATGTGTGGAGCCACCGGCACCTCGGCAAGTCGCGCACTGCGAGCAGCGAGCAGCGACCCTCAACCAGAAGAGCCGTGTACAAACAATGGATGCATGCACGGAAGCCGACACCGAGACAAGTACCGAGACACGTGGCGACATCGTAATATGTACTGTATAAAGAAATGAGAGAGAGAGAGAGAAAGGGAGAGAGACAGAGAGAGAGACAGAGAAAAAAGAAGAAGAGGAAAACACCAGTCAACGTGCAAATCAGGCATTCCTGAATGCGGTATGCACCTAGTGAGAGAGGAGAGGATGACTATGCAGATGACGAAGATAGCAACGCGACTGGCCGACGGCCGAACATTCATACATGTAAGTTCCTCGTGCGTGCCTGGATGGGTCTCTGTGTGCGTGTGCGTCAGTTCCCGCCTGTGGCCACGACGGTGCAATGGCCACGGGTGGGCTCTACAGCTAGACACTATGACGCTGCTTTTATGAGAGCCCGCAGATCACGCATATTGTTGTGTCATGTGCAGGAGTGTCCCGGATTGCCCCTCGACGCTGTTTTCAATCAAGATGCTCTACGCCTGTAAATGGTGAGGCTCCAGTTGCACGGCTTCCACACTTGACAGACTCCAAGGAGCATCCACACAACGGGACCGATGCTGTCACCGTAGCGAGATTCGTACTCTTCGAGGTGTAAAGGTTGCCAAATTCAAAGAATGGTTGCAAGCGCGGACCCTTGCACTATGTCATTGCGCTGTGGATTTCTGAACTATGTGGTGGTTGGTATACGGTGCAAGGTACAAAGTGTACGCCTCGTGGTGCGTCATGTGGGATGAGGGCTACATATATACACATCGACAACCAGATATATGCACTATATCTCGATCTGTGTGTCTGTGTGTTGTGAGCTATGTGGTGAAAACTATGTCGTGCAAGCTACGTGGTGCAAGCCATGTGATGCAATCTGCGCGGTGCAAGCTAGGTGGTGCAAACGATGGTGTGCAATCTACCTCGCGCAAGATATGTAGTGCAAGCTACGCGGCGCAAGCTACGTGGAGCAAAATAGGCGGTGCAAACTGCGTGGTGTAAGTTTTTGGTGCCGCATATGTGGTGAAAACTACGCGGAGCAAGCCAGGTGTGATGTACGTGGGGGAAACCAAGTGGCGCAATATAGATGGCGCAAGCTGTGTGGTGCAAGCTGTGCGGTACAAACTATGTGGTGCAAAATCGACGGTGCAACCTGCGTGTCCACTCCACAGCTCGCGCAATCATCCCACCCACCCGCCCGCAACTTGGTTTGCAAAACCCATGCGGCGGCGATTGCGAGGAGTGCATGAAATTGTCTGGTGCATCTTTGCGGCCGCGCTAGCCGGCAAACTCGCGCGCGCAGCGGCCAGCTAAATTGGCGCGACCGACGCGGCCGCGGTGGCGCTGACCGCCGGGCACGTCCCAGGGTGCACTTCTGTGCGAGCTGGCGACTTGGGCGGACGCGGTATCATGGCAACGTCGACATCAGTAGACGCGATGATGATGGTAGCGATACGGGTGACGATGGTGACAACGACGAAGGCAAGGCCAATGACGGCGCCGATGCTGATCAAGCCGACGACGATGACGGCGTCCTCGCGTCGGTGATGAAGGTTTTGGAAGAAGTTCGACATGTGTGCGCGGCCGACGCGCGAGAGTGGCCCGCATGGTATTACGTGACACGGATCGTGCCACTCGAGCAAGCGCGCAAAAGCGTTCGAATGATTTCGACGTGCTGGGCGAGGGGCCCGTTTGGTGAATTTAATACATATGTTGGAAAACGATGGTTTTCTTAATAATTCGCAAGAGCGCGACCACAATAATTTTCGCAAACTGCAATTGCAAAACCATGTGTTCTTTTGATGGTTTCGGGACACTCGATTTTGAAACCCTTGCGAAACGCACGGCTCTCCGAGGATTTCGGCACGCGCGCGCGACAACGCGCGCGTGTTCACTGCATCTCATTTGCTGCAAGGGATTATTGTGACAACACGCGCGCGAATGCGTTCGAGCGATTCCGATGTGCGCGCGCGGGAAGCCCGCTTGGTAGCAAGTTATGGACATGTGAAAAAACCAATGGTGCCCTTAAGAATTCGCAAGAGCCCGACCGCAAGTGTTTTGAACATTCGTGTTGCGAAACCATGTGTTTGAATGTTTTCTGGACACTCGAATTGGAAATCCTTACGACAACTAAGAACTGGTTTAAGGTTCCAGCATTCGCGCGCGACGACGCGGGCGTGTGCACTTGGTCCCGTTCTTTGCAAGGGGTTCTTGATAGCGAATGGCTTTTGAGAAACGAATGCGCGCGCATGGTACCGTTTGCAGGAGGGCGAGGGGCGGTGCCATGACTACCGGCCTGCCTGGGGTGGTACGCGCCCATGTTCGGAATGGGCGACGGGGCACAGGCGCATACGAAGATTGCAAACCCGACAGGGGGCAGCTTCAACTCGGACGCCCTCTGGCCATCGCTGGGACGTCCATTCCCTGTGTGTGTTTTTCGGTCTCGTGCGTGGTTTTTTCGCCAAATGATCAAGGATGCTCCTCGATGGTCCTCGCCGGAGGAAAACTGCACACGCCCGAGCGATGCCAAGCCCTGTGCAGGGCAAGCGGCGAGCTGTGCAGCGCCTGCGGGGCGCCCGTCGCCTGCGGTGGGCACCAGGCGCAACTTCGGCAGACCCCCCCCCGCGCGGGGCGCCCACCCTGACCTTCCAGAGAGCTATTTCTTAGCACTGGAGACCTAAAAACCTAAAAAGCTGAGCGAAACAGCCTAAAACCAAGACGTAGAATAGCTCTGGGATCGGTATTTAGGTCGCGTGCTATGTTTTAGCCCTCCTGGAAGGTCAGGGCACGAGGCGCCCCACGGGCAGCCCCCCTCTAGGCGACGCCGCGGGAGGCCCTCCCCCAACGAAGGGGCGCCCTCGCGGCGCCCACGGGCGGGCACCCAGGCGACGCCGCGGCAGCCTCGGCCTGCCTCCCCACCGCGGGGCGCCCACGAGACGCCCACGGGCGCCCGCCGACCAGGCGGGCAACGTCCGCAACTCCGGCAGGCACAGCCGGCCCTATAATTTTAGATTCCCCCACTGCAGGGCTTGCACTGAAGGGGTCCTATAGCGGAAGATGAGAGATTTGGCGAAAGTTCCCCGCCGATTCTGGTAGCAGGCTGGGCTCCCGGGTTCCTGGTTCCGGGTTCCCGGGTTCCCGGTGATTGGTTCCGGGCCGATTTCGGTGGGTGCTGGGTTCCCGGGCTCCCAGGTTCCCGGTCGATCTCCTCAGCGAAAACCATCCACTGATTAGGGTTTTCTCTTGTGTAATGGACCCTTAATTGGGAACCCTAAAGCAAACACTTCCATTTCGCCCATCCCACATCCGGATCACAAGCAGTACCAGCGGGAACCATCTCACATCCAGTTCGAAGAATGGAGGAAAGCCAGAACCCCAAGCAGTGAAAGCACCGTTTGGGGATGTTCGTCGAACTGCCGTCCAAGCGTGCGGCGCTCTCGTCGCAGCGGTGGTCGCACTGCAGCATATGCAGCACTGGTGCTCCAGCTGCAGAGTGTGCCAATTGTAACGATCTCCACAGATTATCCGTCCAATGCTGCGATCACGCCAGCTCGCTGGCCGTAATCCTGCTTCAGCACAGGCGGCGTTACCGCTGCAGAGTGCGCCACATTCAAGAATTTCCATCAGGCTTCCGCCCAAAGGATCGACACTCTCACAGCAGAGCTGGCCGCAACCCTGCAACTGTGTGTAATTTGCGTCATCCCAGAATGGCTCTGGCGTGCCGTTGTTTGCTGTGTAGTGGAAGCGATTTGATGTGCGCGTGGCGATTACGTCCAATCGCTTTGCGCTGTCGCCCCGGCGCTGGTCGATTTCCTGAACCGGCGTGTGTCTTGTTCCTGATGCGACCCATGGTTCTTACATTTTATTGCGTTTGATGGACTCTGTGATTAGAGCTGGATTCAACGCAATGGAAATGGATGTGAGAGAGGGGTAGGACGTCAGATACGGAGCGAGCGCACATAGCTTGTCGTCGCCCCTCTCCTGCCCTGCTCCCAGCTTCATCAGGCATGGAAGCATCAACAGCGACCGAATGTGGTCGCGCCGCCAGCCACAAATCAATGTGCGTGCCCCGAGTGTCAACGAGAGCTCTTCGTGGTCCCTGTCACGTTTCTGGCCGAGACGAGAAGAACTCTCCCCACCACTTTGAAGAAATTGCATGGGGAAATGTTGCCGCTGGGCCTCCGCGGAACTCCACGAGACCCGCGGGTATTCTCTGGCCTTGCTAGGGTTCTTCCCACTCCCTCGCCAATTTTCCTTTCTCCTTGTATCCTTGCACCATTGCATTGCACTTCCTCCTCCTGTCCCTCCCTTCCCTGCTCCCCCCTCCCGCACTCCCCTCCTCCCTTTACTTCCCCGCCCTCTCTTTCCTCCCCCAATTCCCCAACACCCGCGGATCTCTCTCTCTCCTTCTCCGTTGCATTCCTTCCCATCGCTTCCAGGATATGGTCCTCCTCCCCACCCCCTTGCCCCCTCGTCCTCAGACTGATGGAACGCGGGTGGGGGCAACAAAGCGTCTTGTTACTCTGCGGCTCTGGTGCTTCACTGGTCCGTGCTGACTCCTCCAATGCGGAAGCCTTCCTGGACGGGTCTGATCTCGCCGTGTGGGGGGGCCCACTGCCTCTCCGCGGTTAGCCGAGGAGGAGGCGGAGGAGGAGGAGGAGGAGCAGGAGCAGGATGAATAGAGTAGGGCGCAGGAGGAGCAGGAGGCGTGCCCGGCGCGCAGCCGGCCGAGTCTCTACTACCCTCGTCAAAATTAACCTCAACAGTTGGTGGCACGTCATTTCGATTTCGGCGCGCCCCTCAATGTCGACACGCCGCCCCTTCAATGTCGGGGCGAGGGAAAAGATAGTCTGACCGAAGATGACTCGAAAGTTTGACGTCGCCCGACATTGGAGGGGCGGCGCATGCAAGTACCCCGCACTCATCGATACTCGGCCCCAGATCTTCCGACAAGCAGTTCCGACACGTCAGACATTTGTGAGGTTAATTTTGACGAGGGTTGTAGGAGCAGACAGCGTTCAAAACCCATGGTACTCGAGCTGTGCACACAAGAAGTTCTACATTTTCATACATATAGTCACTGCCAGTTTGTGTAATCATGCTGCCCACTTGCATATAGCTCTCCGGGGAGCAGCAGGAAGAGGCGGAGGAGGGGGGGCAGGAGGACGCGCAGCACGAGGAGGAGAGCCAGAGGACGAGCAGGTGGAGGAGGAGTCGGGTCAGGAAAGGAGGCCCCACTCGGCCTCTGCCTCGGGTGTCCCTGCAGAGCTCTGAACGAGGCCCTCGCCTCCTCGTCCCATCCCCTCTCCTCCCCTCCTGCTCTCTCCAAACCTCCTCCTCCTCCTCCTCCTCCTTCTCACTCCGCTCTCGCCTCCTCCTCCTCCTCCTCCTCCTCCTCCTCCTCCTCATCCTCCTCCCTCCGCCCTCGCTCCGCCCATACCTTCCTCTGCCTCCTCCCACCGAGCACTCGGCGAGGCACGAGGCTGCGAACCAGACTCGTCTGACTGCACGCTCTCGGGGGGGGGCGCAACGGGGGAACCGTGCTCAAGGGAGGCTGCAGCACCGCTCAACCGTGTGCTGCGCACCGAGCCTGCAGGGTGGGCCCTTTGCATTCTGGTGCAGAGGAGGAGGAGGAGGAGGAGGAGGAGGAGGAGGAGGAGGAGGAGGAGGAGGAGGAGGAGGAGGAGGAGGAGGAGGAGGAGGAGGAGGAGGCTTCGGCTTCACCACGGGTTCACTCCGAAGCGCCTCAGGCCCAGCTCGCCCAAACCCGCGTTCCGCTTGCACGGGTGGGTGCCTCCCCCCTCCCCCGGCCTGCTTCCACCCCTCCCTCTCCCTTCTTCCCTCTCTCCCTCCTTCCTCCCCACCTCCATCACTCCCCTTGCCCTCCCTCCCTCCCTCCTTCTCCCCCCGCCCTCCTTTACGTCTACCCCTCCTTCCCTACCTCCTTCTGCCTTCCTCCCTCCCTCCTCGTCCACGCCTCCACCACTCCCACAAGCCCTCCGCCCTTCCCCTGCCCATCCTTCTCCGCCAACCCGCAAGTCGGGCATGTCCCCCTGCAGGGGGATCTGGAACGAAAAAGGAAACATATTCAAACAATGCAAGACAAATCCCCCTAAAGTAATGGGAATGGGAAATAATTCAAACAATGCAACAATGCAAGAACAATCGTCCCCAGACTCTATTCGGGAATGGACAGACCTCCCTTTAGTAAAACGTGGTTTAATGAAAACGGCTTCGGGCCCAAACCTGGCGGGCGCAAGCCTGGAAAATAACGGCCGCGGCGCCCTCTCGAGCCGAAAACGGACAATTCACTTATCGACGTGTCACTGTTGGGGGTTCTGTCCACCCGTGATCTATGTTTGGCTATTTTGGAACATCCCTCCTGTGGAGGGACGTGCCCGACTTAAAAGCCGAGCCCCACGGCGCAGTCCGAGGGGCGCGCCGGCTCGGAAGCTGCGCGGCCCTGCAGACGGTGCGGGCGAGGACCCGCGTCGCTATATAATCGGCGAGGGGCAACGCCCGGGGGGGATCAGCTCCGGGGTCTGGACGCCCGATATGGGCACGGAAAGAATGGGCACAATGCCCAACAGCAGTTCCTGTTCATTTTGAACAGAATTCGCTGTCCACGCTGCCGCGGCCTGTGTCCATTCGAAACAGGAAGGCCGCCTGCCCAACAACGGCCGCTGTTGGTTTGGTACGGAAAGAATGGGCACTATGCCCAACAACAAGTGTTGTCCCAAACCAACAGCGGCCGCTGTTGGGCAGGCGGCCTCCTGTCTCGAGTGGACACAGGCCGCGGCGGCGCGGACAGCGAGTCCTGTTCAAGATGAACAGGAAATGCTGTTACGCATTGTACCCATTCTTTCCGTACCCATTTCGGGCGTCCAGACGGGGGGGGGGAAGCACCGAGCTGGAACCGGCGAGAATCGCCGGTAGATCGGCGCTGGGCTTTCGATCGCGACGCCGCAGGTTCCTGGGCGGAGCGGGCTGTCGCAGGGGCACGGAAGATGACATAAGACTAAAGACTCGGAGGTCCGCGCGAATTTCTGGGATCGGCGCTGGACCCCCCTCCCTGGCGCGCGGAGCGCGCCAAGGGCGGCGCCGGAGGCGCCGCCAGGGGGGCCCAGCGCGGATCCGAGAAATCCGCGCGGACCTCCGAGTTTTTATGTCTACGTCATTCTTCGTTCCCCCATGTCGGGCCCCCCTCGGCGATCGTCAGGCGATTGGGGGTGGATACGGCCCCCCAGAGCTAAATCCCCCCCGAACGTTGTCCCAGATGAGGGCGCGAAGGCAGCTGCCGCGGGCCCACGGGGCCGCCAGCTTGAGCCCGAGGCTGGCGGGCTCTGAGCCGCAGCGCCGCGCCCTGCGCGAAGCCTGCGGGCCCGTGGGCCCAAAGGAAAGTGGAGCTGCAGTAGGGGGCTCGACCACGAGAAACCTCCCACAAGAAACCCAGCCCTGAGACCCCAGGACGTCCGTTGATTTTTGGTGTGGGAACGTCGCGCTCTCCATCGCAGAACCAGCGAAACCCAAGAAATCCAGGGCACCATGGAGGCAAGCAGGGTGTTTCTTGGCATGGGCCTCCACTGTATACTTTTTTAACAGGCGCGAGAAGGCCTGTGGCACGACGGGGGGGACGGCAGAGGCTGAGAAGGGGGGGAGGGAGGCAAGCAGGGGAAGCCACGCAGATATTACCCAATGGTGCGCAGGCCTTGGCCCCAGTCATCGTGTACACATCTGGCTGAATGTCTCACATTCGCAGTCCAGACACGAAGAATGTCCACTATACCGCCTGGGGTGGCGATGGCAAACGTAATATCATGGTCATGTTCCCGCCCCCGGAAAAAAAAACATATCAGGCGAACCTGTCGCCCTGTGTGACGGGGGGACCATGGGTGGTCGTGGTCGTCCACTCTCCCCCCCCTCTTTCGCTGCCGCCACCTGGCGCCCCGCAAGCTCGCCAGTCCGGTGTGATATCGACCCAGGCCGCACGCGAGTCGAGAGGAAATCCCGTCCCCTCGGTCCCTGCCAGGCCGGGAGAGGAGCGGGAGGGTCCAGCGCAGACCCGAGAGGGGTTGAGGCGGGGGGGGGGGTCTCGGAGTGGCGTGCGCCTCCCGGATCCCGCCTCCCCTCCACGGGGTGGCTTGGGGGATCTTGGGGCCACTTTGGCTGGGATTGCGTCACCAAGGCCCGCAAGAGCCACTGTCGGGGGGGGGGGTGGGGGGGGCAACCTCGGCACTCTTGGGGACCCCGCGGGTCGTCTTGGAAGTCTTGGGGGCCAACCCACGAGGCTCAGATCGGCCGACCCCCTGTGTATTTCATCCGCGCGTCCTCGCCGCTTCGGTGGCGAAAGCGCCCAAGGCACCCCAAGAACCCAACCCCGCAAGAGCAGCCCCACGACGCCCCAAGAGGCCCCCAGGCGGCGATCACTTACTGTTCGACGCGCCCACTCCAGGGCAACAAAGGGAAGCGGGTCGGGGGCCACGGGGCGGGGCGCAAAGCATGGGCCACGGGGCTCGCCGGGCGTCTGGCCGTGGAGCGCCGCCTCTGCGTCGGCCGGTCGAAGCCACGACGGGATGCTGCGAGATGAAGGGCAACTGAAAGGTACGCCACGGTGGACGACTGGCCACAAGACGCGGACAAACACCTCCAGCATCGAGAAAAACATCCACGAGAGAACCGCAACTGGGAGGGTCACAACAGAATAGCCATTGAGCGCAACAGCCAGGGGCTGCGGACCACCGGTCCCGCCTCCACGACCCCCCCTTTTCGATAACGACCAGGTAAGTTTTTCCCCCTGCCCCACTCGAGAGAACATAGACTAAAACAAAAAAGCCGAGGCGCGGAATACAGTTTTTAGCCGTGTAGCGCACCACGGGACGCCAAGCTTCAAGCGAGCAAGCTTGAAACTTCAGCCTTGGGCTCGAGCTTCGAAGTGCCGCTGCTTCGCTGCGGGAGCTGGAGTTTCTGATTCAGATTTTTTTGCGTGCGAGCCGAGGACGGTTGAGAATGCCCACGGAGGTGCGAAGCGCGCAATGCTAACCACGACGGCGACAACAGCAACACAATTGATGTCAGCTTGTGATTAACAAAAACATGTGCTCGGGCGAATCGCGGGGGAGGGCGCCCGCCAAATTGAAACGCACGGCGGCGGCGCTGGTGATTGGCGCCGGCACCCGACCGACTGCAGAAGGGCGACAGGCGCGACGCAAGCGGCGCCGCTTCAGCGGAGGGGGACAGCAGCACCTCCGACATAGTGAGGCGGTTGGGCCAAAATGGCCACAGACAGGAGAGAAAGAGGACGCGGGGGAAAGAGGCGCTTCGGCTGGCGGGCGGTGCTGACATGGCTAGAAACAAATAAGACAAAACGGGAGGAGCCGAAGAGGCAGGCGGAAAGAGTCCCTCTTCTCCTTCTCCCTCCCCCCCTCCACTACAACGTCCTACGACGACGACGGCAACGACGACGACGACGACGAAGACGGCGGACGACGATGCGCTGTGGATGCTCCATGGGGGGGGCGGGGGGGCTGCGCATGCCCGCTGTAGTCGTCGACGACGACGATGACGGACGACGACGCACTGCGGATGCCCTAGCCGCAGTCGGCGACGACGACGACGAGGACGATGAAGACGAGGACGAGGAGGAGGAGGACGAGGACGACGGCGACGACAACGACGACGCACTCGACGACGACGACGACGACGACGACGACGACGACTGTGGCACGTCAGCAATCAGTTTGAGAAGGGGGGGGGAATTCGCCTTACCTTGGATGTATACGGTCCCTAACAACATCTATGCGAAGGGCAATCGTTTTGAGGCTGCCGTGCAGGGGGTCCACGATCCCCTCGACGGCGCCCGCGACGACCACCTGGCGCGCGATTCAAACAAATGTTTCGCGCCCCTCGGGGTCTATTCATCAGCCCCGCGGGGGGAGGGGCCTCAATTGCTAATCACAAGCTGAGATTACCTGGGCATTGCAAGCGCGTTGTCCTTGCCATGGTTTACACTGCAATTGTTTCGCCTGCTTCGCAGAGCCGCTGTTTCGCTGCTAGAACTCGAGCTACTGATTGTAATTCTGCGTGCGAGCCGAATGTGACTTGAGAAGGCCCAGGCAGGTGCGAAGCACGCAGCGCCAATCACGACGGCGACGACAACAAAGCAGTTGTTTGTCGATGACAAGTTGCTCGCATTGCAGATCTTTGTGGAAGGCAGTGTCGGTCTGCTTTGAAGAGCCGGTTTCGCTGCTAGAGCCTGAACTTGTGATTCTGATTCTGCGTGCGAGCCGGATGTGGTTTGAGGGTGACCAAGGAGGTGCGAAGCACACAACGCCAACCACGACAGGGACGATGACGACGACAACAGAAGCGTGAGTGTTGCTGTGGCCTTGCGATACTGTTTGCGCTGTGACTGTGAAAATGAAATTGAAAGTCGGGGCCCTAAAGGCACTAGGAGGAGCCCTCCAATACAGACAAAAAACGGGGCGGCCCAAAAGGGCCAGGGCAGGCGGAGGCGGGCCAGCCGAAAGGCTTGACTTAGGGCCCCCCTAGACGCCCAGCCCACCGCTCACGCACGGACACCGAAACAGCACGACATGCCCGAGCCACACTCTCGAAGCGAGCCAGTGAGCAGTGAAGGAAGTACAGACTCACCGCTTGACGAGATGACTATACGTCTGCGTGCGAGCCGAACGTGGTTCGTGAGGATACCCAGGCAGGGGCGGGGCGCACGGCGCAGGCCACGACGGTGACGAGGACGACAACGGCAAAGCAACTGTTTCTGCATCGCAGTGGCTGCTGCAGCGCACTTGCTTTTGCACTGCAGTGCGGGTCTGATTCGGAGAGCCGCTGGTTCGCTGCTAGAGCTCGGGCGTATGCTTGACCATGCTGCCGCGTGCGAGCCGGATGTGGCCTGAGGAGGTCCCCGGGAGGTGCGAAGCGCAGCACGCCAGCCACGACGACGACACCAGAGCAATCGGCTTCGCATTGCAGCGGCAGTTGCGTTGCAAGCGGCTTCGCAGTGCACGTTCGGTCGGCTTCGGGGTGCTGCTGCTTCGCTGCTAGAGCTCGAGCTTCTGGGTCTGATTCCGTGTGTGAGCCGAGTACGGTTTGAGGCGGTCCAGAGGGAGGTGCGCAGCACGAATCGCCAACCCCGACGACGACAGCGAAACAGTTGTGCTGCATTGCAGCTGTCAGAGTGAGGGGGCCGAACGGTCATTCATTTTCCCTGGGTGCGGGGCTGAAGAAGGAATTCGTGGTGAGAATTCTGCTTGTTGCGTTGTTGTTGTTGCTGCTGTTAATGTTGCTGTTGTTGTTGTTGTTGTTGTTGTTGTTGTTGTTGTTTTTCGTTGTCGTCCCACCTGCGACCCACCCGTGACCCACCCCGCGACCCACCCCGAGACCCACTCCGCGACCCACCCCGCGACCCAACCAGCGACCCACCCGCGACCCACCCCGCGACCCACCCGCGACCCACCCCGCGACCCACCCGCGACCCACCCCGCGACCCATCCGCAACCCACCCCGCGACCCACCCGCGACCCACCCCGCGACCCACCCTGAAGAGAGGAAAAAACACCCGGACCCGACAATTGACGTTTACTAAACGGCCCTGGGCATTTACTAAACAACTCTGCCCTGTTCGATTCATTCCGTGTGTGCGTTTACTGAACGGCTTCTCTTGTCAGGGTGATTGCTATGGGGTTAAATTTCTGCCCTCTGCACCCGCGACCCACCCGCGACCCGACAACGATCCACCCGCGGCCCACCCGCGGCCCATTTGCGACCCACCCGCGACGCACCCGCGACCGACCCACATTGTTTTAACGAAAAAAATCGGCGCATTGCGGCGGGCTCGTTGCATAATTTGAAAAATGTTGGCACCTGCGGCGGGCTTCTCCAGGGTCTCGAAAATTGCCGACGTCCCCACTGCCCTCTCACTCTTGTCCGCATCTGTTGGGTGCTACGGGAATTGCATTGCCATTGGTTTCGCAATGCAAATTTGATCTGCTTGGGGGAGCCGCTGTTTCCCTGCTAGAGCGTGAGCGCATATCATGTTTCCGCGTGCGAACCGAATGCCTTTTGAGATATCAAAGAAAAGACGCGCAGCGCCAACCACCACGACAACATAACCGTGTGTTTGTCCTTGCGTTGCAATGTTTTGCACTGTTGGCAGGATTGCATGGCAGTATTGTTGCCATGCCAGTTTTGTATGCTTCGGGCTATTGCTGCTTCTTTGCTACAGCCTGATCGTCCCAACAGCCCTTCAAGTCGAGAAAGAACGTGGCCGCCCGCTTCATCCGATTTGGGTTGGCAGGTTTCGTTGCTCCGGTCGGGAC